ATATATTTATATATTTCTATAAATACATCTATATATTTATATATTTAATATGTTTAGCCCGGATGGCCAGTGGCCGTGGGTAATGGCCTCAAGTAGTGGGCTGTAGCCTGTGGCCTGTAGGGACTGTAGTGGGTGCTACTGCTGGGGCCGCTGGGGTGTTGGGCGGTATGTTTCCCTCGCGGGTTTGGGGTTTGGGGGCGGTCTTTGTGGGTTTGGGGGCGGTCTTTGTGGGTTTGGGGTTTCTGTTCCTTTTCTTTGTATCAACACAATAAATACATTAAAAAATTGTTTTCACAAGAAAACCTAAATTGGCACTAATCAATTGGCCTTTGAAAATCTGCGCAATTCATCATTGTTTCATTCCTGCTTGCTTCACTGCTTTTGAAAATATAATTAAATATTAGGCCTTTAGAAGTTTAGCTTCAGGCCTACGGCTTCAGGCTTCAGCTCTCATTCAGTCATCATATCATCAGTGAAACTCAGATCACTCCCTCACTCAGGGAGAGAAAATTCTCACTTTAAAATAAATAAATACTGTATAGCGTATACAACTATACATACATAACTCTATATTTTATTGCTCTTTTAACTCACTCTCTCAGTGACAGACTGACACTCTGACAGCCTCTCCCTTCAGTGAGGCACTGGGGCCTGAGGGTCTGTGAGGCTCAGATTCCTCAGAGCCTCAGTCCCGTGACGTGACCGGTGACTGACGTCTCACGGACTCTCGCCTCACGCCTCACGCGGTGACACGGTCTCAATGACTCACTCTCACTCGCTCATCTCGGTCTCTCTCTCTCACACACACTCTGTTCCCTCTCTGAGTAGTAGAGTATGTTGAGGGTAGAGCGAGAGAAGATTTTATCTACAATACATGTTGTTTTTAAAAAATACTTCGGAAATCAATAGAAATTTAGTCATAGTCATCTCAATTCGCAAATCTCAAACTGAAACAGTGAAACCACTGAACCAGAATAGTGGAATACAAGAAGAAGTCAAAAGTCAAAGTTCAAAGTCCAATCAACACGCTTGCATTCAGACGTCAGACGACCAGAGTCCAGACTCACAGAGTCCAGGGCCCAGGGCTTCTCATAATCCGGAGTCCAGAGTCCAGAGTCCAGAGTCCAGAGTCAAGAGCCAGACTACTACTCGCGGTAAATCAAACTGACTGAATGAATTCGTTGAGACTTCGTGGGAGTTGAGACTTGAGACACTTGATATGCAACAAGTCTCAAATGGTCAAATCCCTGTGATCTATGTACAGTTTCTACACTCTACAACTACAACTGTATGTGAGACTATATACTCTCTAGTAAATAGCAAATAGATGAATACTTACTATTGCCAGTTTTCTAAACTACGCTGTGGCCTGTGGGCCTGTGCCCTGTAGACTGTAGTACAGGTAAATAATACGTACTATATTTATCTGATAGATTTTTATATGTGGTCAGCCTCCCCACCCTCCCGTTCTCGATCCAAGCCCCACGCAGTCGCACACGCCCTCGGCCCACAAGAGCTACTGGAGGCCCACTCTTACTAGAGTAGGCCCATGAGAGTGAAGATTCGTCTCTATGTTTTATATCGCTCTCTTACTCGTAACGAACAGCAGAATTAACGAACTATTCAACTATATGAAGAACTACGAAATATCGCTCTCTTACTCGTAACGAACAGCAGAATTAACGAACTATTCAACTATATGAAGAACTACGAACCTGTCTGAGTATTGTATTAGGCGCAGTGAAGTTCGAACCTGTCTGTGTATTGTATTAGGCGCAGTGAAGTTCGAACTTGCCTGCGTATTGTATTAGGCGCAGTGAAGTTCGAGCATGGTCCCCTAGAAGTAGTCGCTGGTGTAGAGAGAAATATCTATGTCCCTGGGGCTAGGGGGACGGGCCTTTGAGGAAGCTATGCTCTTCCACGTGACATTCTCCAGAGATGGGGCCATTGTGACATGGCCAACAAGAGTGGACTCTAAATTCAACGAGATCGCATGGCCCTCTGGATTAGGGTCACGAGCAAAAATCAGGGTTACTGTATGTAGCGGAAATCCAAAATGTAGCAGAGACCCAAATCCAGACGGCCATGGAGATCGACAATTTATTTATTTATACATCAGTAAATATGTTGTATCGTATACATTTTGTCAAACAATCACACAGAGACAAGAAGTGAAGCAGAACAAAAGATACAGATATGTTTAAAAAAAAACAATTAAAAAACAAAAATGTTGTATTTACATACTGTATATACACTCAGTGTAAATATTTATTTTAACTTATAACTCGACGGACGTTTTTAATTTTTCATAATCCGTTCAGTCATATTTTCTTATTTGAAATTTCTTTCTTCTCTCTCTCACTCTCTCTACTACTAAGTATGTGTAAAGCGTGGTACAGACTACATAAATAGTCGGTCTCGGATATGCATTTAATTTTTTTCAATCCGAGTTGAATTGGGACCCAATCAAAAGCAAACAAACTAAAGCTTTGAACATCATGCATTTTTTTTTGCCTATCATGATTGGAAATTTATATCATTCCACTCTTGTTCGAAGAAAAAAATGCCATGTCTGTAAACCACTGGCGAGTGGTGACTGGTCACAGACGCAGACTCACACTGTCACAGACAGAGAAATGGACTCACAGTACATACATACTCTGGTCAATGACCTATGTAATGAATTAATGATATAATTTAGTTAGTCTTCAGACTGCAAATTGCACATTTGAACTATATCGAAAACAAATCAACTGACTGGTTTACAGTCGGCACAGTATTTGAACCATATTTCTAAGCGGGAAGGCTGTTCAAAACCCAACCGGTGACTCTACTTAGATTCTTTGATCAGCAGCGATTGAGAAATTTTCAAATTTCAATGTTGATGGAACGTGGATAAAGAAAAGTGGATTTGAAGTGAAGTTATCCATATTTTGAATCAATCCAACAGCCTCAAAGAAGAAGTACATATGACAGGGGTAGTTGAAAGTGTCTTTGGTCCAGTGAAGTCACACTAATGGCTGTGATATAAAATCAAGCATCATTTGACCTTAGAACATTTTCTCGCACTGACTTGAACAAGTACTTCTATACTTTGCATTGATTTACTGTGTAGCTATGTGGCCTATACCACCGCATCGATCCATACATCGGTGTTGTTTATTGGGATATACTTGTCGGGGTATTGCTTCTAAGCCCATGTAGTGATACTAAGATCTAGATTATGAGCGAGTCATTGGGCGGTGTAGGACCAGGAAGGCTCCGCCGCCCTTACAATGTCGAGCACGAGAAGGTCTATTCTAACACATCCTCTAAGATTTACTCTACCAGTAGTCGCAAAGCAGTGCCAATCTGTGACGCATCTACATCACAGCATAGTAGCGCACACTGCGAGCCGAGGAGAGCGACATATTTTCCTTCTCATGACAGAGACCTGCCATACAGTCAAACACAGTTTCACACACTAGCTATACACAATGAGTCGGCGCGGCAAGATTCTTTACTCGGCAGCGTTCAACATACGACAACCACGTATAATGCGGAGAAGGGGCTCACTGATATAGCGCAACATACTGTTAACCAACCAGGACAATCTCATAGTGCTGAACATCGAGTTAACAGTGCCATGAGGATCGACGATGCGAATGAAAGTTCCGAAGGTTATCGGATTGCCAATAGTGAAGGGGTGTGTGGCATATCAGTGGTCGGTGGATATATACCACCAGGTACTGTTAATCAAGTGCGAGGTCTCAAGGTGGAGTCGAACATACAAGTGACAGTTGATCGCTCACATGTGCGATCGGGGAGAACCTCCTTAAGCGTAGCGAGGAATCACTCATTTGCAGAAAGTGAAGCAATCGGAGATACAAAGTTTAGACAAAATCCTCAAGATCGTAGTGACAGTGGTTTCACTAAACAAAATATTGCACGTGACACAAAATCTCCAACGCTATGTGAGAGTTTCGGACAAAGGCTCGGACTTCATTCTGACACCCAGATGCAGGGAACGACACTTAGAGATACCGCGGATGCTTGTGCAATCGAAGGCGATATTCACCCTATTCATCCTGATGTCAACCCGTATTCGACTCACCGAGAGCGCACGCGTGTACGTGGCGCGTTATGGAGGCCCCTCGAAATCGCTGCAATCGGTGTCACTCCTGGAGAAAATATTATAAATGATGACGCACAAGAGACGCATATAAACGCCCAAAGGCGGCAACATCACAATGTAGAACATACACAAGGCACAACGAAAAAGTGCACTTGGAACGATCCAAGTCCAGGCGCGTATAGAGGCGGAAGGTCTGCGCCTGTGGCCACAACCAAGGGAGCGGACAGCTTTGACCTCCCGGCACGAGCATTTCGTCCACAAGCAAGCGAATCAGCACCCAACGGCGATATCGTTATGTATGAGAGCGACGCGAATAGCCATACTTTCGGGACGGAACCTGTACCCATTTGCTCTGAACAGAATCAAATAAGGCAACGCTCACCGAGTAGAGGATCTAGTCGTCACGCATACCATACAAAATGGAGTTACCCCCCCGACAGCGAACGTACAAGCAATTATAGATATAGAAGACCAATCGCAAATCGTGCCCAAAAGCCACAGGCAATCTCGATTGTACGTGATACAGCATCCACACAGGCACACTCCGATAGGCAGCGTTTCAGTCGCAAAGGAGAACATACAAGCACAGGGTCAGACTATCTTAGAACTGACTACAACGCCTTGAATGACCACAGCGATAACAGTAGCACGGTCAGTCACCGCAGCTACACACGACAGCCCAAGAGTGCCCCGGACCTTCACATGGCCGCGCACCATCACACGCAGACCTTATTAGATAAGCGGTACGCGCAGAGAGCATACAGCAGCAGACCGCACGCAGAGTGCACTCGAAGGCAAAGTGACAACACTATAAAAAGCAAAACCAGGCATCAGAATTCAAGCCGACTGCGGCGCGACCGTGTATTGAAATCGCCAGCGCGGGACGCAATCACATCTCTTTACTTAGCGCGAAGTTCCCACGACAGTTCCGACTCAGTGTACGCATTCGATGAAGAACTATCGGGAACACACGTGAACAAGTTCGCATCAACATCACAGGAATCCGTCGATCGGTGGTCGGGTGAGCACTCACACACTCGCGAAAGAGCGCTTCCTTATGAGAGACGTCGCACACTCAGCGGCAGGCATAGTACGAGTACCTCCGGTAGCATTCCACACGGGTCGAGAACCAGCCTTTCGCACAGAGCTTTGAATAGCATATCGCACAGCGCTCTAAATACTTTACCACACGCACGCACGAATGAATGGGGACAGCTTACAATGGAGCAAAGGGACTCTGCCCTCTCAGTTAGTTCACAGAGGAGCGCCATATGCTTAGACTCTTTGCAGAACAAGCGCAGTCAAAGTATGAGGTCGTGGGTGTCCGAAGATCAGATATGTCAGCAATCGGGGTTGAATAGTAATAGCACACGCGCAGACTCTGAGTTTCTGAAACCACACGCAACTTCTGTTGGATCAACGCCGGTAATAATCGAGATGGAGAGTTCAACGCCTAGTGGGTTGTGTGGCAGGCAAAGTCCAGCGATAAAAGAAAGTACTGAGACATCAGCGAACATCAAGCAGGAAAACAGGTCGGCCAAGGTCGCTGAGCGCAGAAACCCACCTATGCCCAAGCACACTTACTCGTCTCTGATAGGGAAGTGTATTTTTGCGTCGCGCGACGAGCGTGTAACACTTCCGGAGTTGTATAGCTACATCTCTGAACGGCTACCGAATGGAAAGCAATTACTCGCGGAGAGTTGGCAGTCGAGTGTTAGACACCAATTGGCAAGCAACAAGGCGTTTATGAAGAAGAGGTATCCCAGCAAGGAGGGCGGGACTGCAACAAGGAAGTACTGGAGTATCAAACCCGATTACAGGGATATGTTCACCGAAACAGGTGAATATATACCGCAAGGACGCAAATCTGCACCCGACATGTAGGAATTAGAAATTGAACTGGGATCACACAAATTGCTATTAAATCAGTAGACTTGACCTCGAGATGGTAACTACGGCAGACAAATCCACGGACTATAATATAGAGTGAGTGTAGGTATAGAGTAGAAGATGGATGCTTTCAAGATCAAATGGCAAACCGTTTAGTTTATCGCGATGGTCTAGATAAACTAGGTATCAATGTGCATATATTGGCCGGATATAACTAAGATCTTCCTGCATTTATTACTATGTTTCTATGTAAAAAGTGAAGCGCAAGGGTAGACGAATAAGTATCCTCCTACAACCACTAGGAGGCACTGGCCTGTGACGGTGCAGTGCCACATACTAGCGTTTGCCTTGCGCGTACATAGTGATTCTTTTCTGATATGTTTGTCTCAATCAGAGTAATGCTTTCCCCCTTTCTTTGTAACTATATAGCAGTCTTGAAATGTTTGGGTGAGTAAGGAGTGCAGAGTGGTCTTGTACCGACACTCTGCAGGTACACACACTACTGTGTGAGCGGCAGGTCAACGTCGATATGGCGGAAGTGAAGTTAGGCACTTCGAATGAACTGAACACTTCCATTTTGTAAGTATACACGCGCTGTTCGTATACACCTAACACAGACGATCTCGACATAGGTACTTATACACGTATATTGCACATCACCTTCTATCTAGGTATACTTTCAACTCGGCTAAGTTCTTATCTATCGACTCGAAGTCGCGCGACACCGTTTTAAGCCATTTATATTTAACCATGAATCCGCGTAGTTTATCGAAAAGTGCATCCTGAAGAAAATTAAGAGAAATGATATGAATCGACTTTTTGATGATACGTTTTCAACCAGGAATTTAGAGTTGTTTCGGTAATAGAACACTGAATGTTTAGATAGCGAAAGTTATATTACCGAGACACAAATGAGATAATAGATAGTTCAAAAATATGGATGGGAATAGTTGCTTTCGCTTCGTACACTGAGCAGCAACACCGCAAGATCGGTAGATAGGATACACAATATTGCCTCGAAAACATGCTCGGCAGCACACAGACGTCTCCTAAGTTTTACAGTCTTGCCGCAGCTTCATCACTCAATATCCATCAAATAAGACAAATTGTCACAGCAAACCAAGCAGAACAAATACACAACGTACTTAATTAGTGTCTCGCTATGGTCGGATTCTATCCTGTGCGGCGACACAATATCGGCCATTGAATGGTATAAATAAAATAGAACATAAAGCGAAGAACTCAAGAGAAGTACACAGGCAAAACCTCAAACCTTTTCCTTGTCTACTCCAGGCCCACGAGCTGTACTTGAACTTTCATCCCGAGATAGACCCTACGCAAAGGCAATAATGTTACAGATAAGCAATGTAATCGAGAACATTTGAGGACTGCCAACCGCAGACTGAGGTGGGTCCGACTACATTAACTCACAACTTGAGTCATGAAACGGGCCATAGATTGCAGTGACTATCACCAGTAACTAAAACTACGCTTCACCAGTTCTACCTTAATTCGAGGCGTACTACCAATAAAAAAATGCAGTGAAAGCCTCCAATAATCTACTTAAAGTGCAACTTTGTGTCGCGATACTAGCCATACGATATAGTTAAAAACTATCAGTGTGACATAGAGTCATGCTAAAATTTTCTACGGAACTTATTAGGGCCAGATATTGGTGTCACCAATGGAGTTGTATACTACTGTGAAGACGGGATCAAGTTGGGAAGACTGAGTTTATTGACACAAATTTTGTCATCTTCCACTAAAGAAGAAATTTGTGCACATTGCATTTTAACTATGCGTTCAAATTCAGACCGACAGTTGCGAGCGATTGAGTATGGCACAACCACTTGCAAGTGAGCAGCGCACTATTGTCCGACAGCTCTGACAACTCAAACATCAAGTCCGGCCGACAAATATTAGCATAAGAAAATACTGACGTCAACCCAATCTCACAGACACATAAGTGTCACATAATAAGTTAGGCGACAGCACCGCCACTTGCAATAGATCATGAAGCGGCGTACAAAATGATACTCACCAACGTACTGATCTCGCCATCGGTCATAGCTTCTCGTTCTAGCTGAAGGTCATTGAGCATGTCACTCACAGTGAGCGTATCACAGATACTGCCATCCATTATGGTACGTATCGACACACCAGCGTAAGTGATGTGGAACTATACAGCACTATCTATAATAACTTGAGCAACAGCACTATTTATAATAACACGAGTATAAAAAGGCCGTGACCTTTTAAAAGCTTAATAGTAGTATACATATTATATAATAAGACACAACAATACATTTTGTTTAATAGCAACGTCTGACGAAAAGGCGTAATTAAACACTACCTAGGCGAAACCAGGCTGGGGCGGTCATTAGTAAAACCAACTTGCTGCAGTGACAGTCCTAACGAATCAATACGTTTTGGATAGTTTATATTGTCGTCAATGGGTGGCTATGGCTGTCTATGCAACGGGTGCATGTTCGGAGCCCAGTAAAGGTTCAATTTTTTTAAATATGTATAAGTAGGTCTCGATGTTTTTTTCATCCTATTGACCCCCGAACAAACGGTTTGAAGTTAAAATAAACCGAACAGATAGGCGTTTACGTTAATAGTTTAGTGGATTAAGTTATGCCCAGCCCCCGATGTCCGGTCGTCGTACGTTTTGACCTGTCAATTCGATTTTGGAGGCCTTGACGGACTTGCACCCTTCTTGGTCGGTGTCCAAACAGACTCCGACGAACATACATCCACTACAATATTAATATATCTCACGTACATATTGTATGCAACTATCAACAATCAACCTTCCACAGTATAATTAATATATAGGTTGTGTGTGTTCCGTCTGCTGATTAAGCGATGGGTATTCTATGCTGCAGACCCAGGAGGGGTGACGATGAGGAATCCCAGCCTTTGCTGAAAGGTGTGAACATGTTTGTTCGTATGGCACGTGTGCGTGTTTCGTTGTATTGCGGTTCGTTAGACATGAGCCAATAGCATTATGTGCAGAGTTGCTATTGATGCTTTACTTTAATAATTCATTATGCATTTTCGTTCAATGTTTATAGAGTAGCTTTGAATTTAATTTCGATACTTGCGTTTTAAGTTCATCACATATACGGTATAAGGGCGAAGTTAAAATTGCAAATAGGTGTCACACACCGAGACATATAACGCTGCGTCAACACACGCTTCGCATACATCAACAACATGTATGGTTTTTTTATCCAGATTATGCACGAACACACATATGTGCGCGTAATACCTATACATACATATATTTATAGGGGCAAAACGTATACAAAATTTCATATACACAATTATGCCTAAACTCTCATTTGTTTCCAATTGTATGCCTAGTATAAAGACATAATCATCTTCGATACATAAATATTATATATATATATAAACACTCACACTCACACACACACATACACACAAATACACACACACACACACACACACACACACACACACATATAT